ATCACAATTACTATAAGGTCCGAGTTGTCCAGGTGGATAAAAAGATATGCATGCTTATGATTACGTATAATGAACGAGCAGCAGAGGCACATATCAGACACATAGCGAGTAAAAATCAAGTTGCTAACCCTATTAACCTTATTCGGAAATACCACAAAGCCATGCATACCTGGAAACCTCCCGCTAGAACTGAAGTCATCCCCTGTGCTACATTATGCAGCAAATGATACTCTACACAAGCAAATACCGAAGTTGCTAATTACTTCAGGTACCCGTTGACACACAATAAGGAAAACGCATAAATTGAAAAAATCTGTGCAACTTTCATGTTAATAGCTTAAATGGAGGACAAAAGCTAACACTTCAGTATTGCCTATCTAAGTAGTAAATGTCACGAGACTATCATTAGATTCTCGGTCATTGACGCAATTACATGGAGTTCAAGTCACTCTGGATCACCTTTCATCGCTATAGCGGTCCATAATTGCATTTCGTAAGATTCATAGATAGAACCTGTATAGTTTTTGTGACTTCCGTTCCTTAGACATCTCTGAAATGCGCAGTTTCAAGAAAATCACCATAAGCATTCTGTGCCATCCGTCGGCTATAAACGCTCTCAGTATCCAGCTTAGGTTTAGTTGCGTCGATCTTAGTGAAAAAATGCTGATCTCACTTCCTTCTCTCATAAGGCAAGTTGCACTCATTGTCGCTCAGGCTATCATTTAAATTATTCTGGACCATATTGAAAAGGGAAGACATGCACATAAGCCTTCCCCGAATATTTGCGAAGGTCGGGAATAAGATAATTGCCGGTGCGTTTATTGGCCATAATAAATTACAACTCGAACTTCCACTCTGTTTCATGAGCAGTCTAATAGAGAATTGTAGTCTCGGCTGTATCTCGGTAATTAAAGTTTTGGGACAATTTTTGCCCATTTATCCTCTTAAACACATTGCATTCTTGTTTTTTAACTTCCTTTCATCAAATATCTTTTACTGTAAAGACATTCCATCGATGTGTTTGCTGCATTGTTATCACTTCCCATTCGTTGTTGCACACACGCTAGACAAGCTTCTACATCTCCTTATTATGGACACCTTACAATGTTCGAATTAGATCTAACTTTTTAAAAACACTTTTCACAAGAATGTTCGAACAACGCGAGTTTATGGATACGTTCTGCAAACTACAATTTGATTTACAGAATTGATTGTAGACAAAGTTGTTTAAGTTTTTCGTTGGCATAAATTTGCAGTTAACCCGCGTTTTTGAGCTTGTCTTTCGTAAAGGTTACGATGGGTTTTGTGTTGGAGGGTTTGTTTACTCTCTTATTCGCGGGAACTTTTGAGGGTATGTTTATCTCTAGTTCTTAAATTAAAAAAAAAACAAAATTTACACATATATCGGGACATTTTGTTTAGTATACGAAGTAGCCCTAATCTATGTATTTTAAAACAGCCCAAAGTGCATATACTGTTGGTTATATACATAAGCATTAATGGTTATCTATGCGCTAGATAATGCCCCAAGGCTCAAAACATGATGTGTTCAAAATTTTTGTATGTGTAAGTTGTTTGTATATGTGGACATTATTAGTATAAACCTAAATCCTTTATTAATAAAGGGATAAAATTTTATCCCGAATCATTTGCAGATTTCCATAGCAAATATTGTTTCTATAAGCGGATGTAAAACTTGTTATATAGCAGCTACTGTATATTCCTATAGCAGTTGAACTCGAATGGAAATCAAATCGAGTTCGCTTCGAGTCCTATCAGCTATACCTATAACCTCGTCACCGGGCGCTCGGAAACGCATAGCCTTTTGTCTGTGGTTCGTTGTGTTTGGTGATTTAGATCATTATATCGTCCTGCGCGCGTTTGGGTATGTCTACTGTATCGTCAAGTTATTATGTTTTTAAGACCCAATTTGTGCAAGATAAAAACATCATTTTAGTCAATTGACTAAAATGATTTTACTACCTGCAAAATCTACACCCACTAACATTCTACATCGAGTGAAAAGCCTACCAATAGAACCCTCAGGCGTTAATTCAGGCATTTCTACTTCAGGAGAGTGGCTTGGCAAAGCGGACGACGTTGGAACAGTAACGTGTTAGGCAGAGTCCGTAGCCGCATAGTAGGCCGTCTTCAGGCGCCTGATTCGCTTATAAGCGGTACTCCGGTTGACTCCGTAATACTTACGTTTCATTTCTGCTAAGTCTCAATGACAAAAACGATAAGCAATGGCTCTAAGTGCGCCTTTTTAGATCACTCTGCTACAACGGATATCAATACCAACTTGGTTATATCAGTAGACGATTATTCAATGATAATACTAAATTACGCATCAAAATTAAAAAAATATCATAAAAGAGCCCAAAAGAGCATTTGATTACGTACCACAGTAACGTCAGAATGTAGGCCAAAGTAGACAGTACTAGTACTCACGACGAGAGGAACGTAGCTCACGTGGGAGATAAGCACCGCACAGTGACACACTTAAACAATTATGCGCATTGTATCAGGATCGCCCAAGCATGTCAAAACCACAACTTCAGATGTTCAAAAGTACTTTTTGCCGTTTTCAAAGCTTATTTAAACCAAAAATGCATGTTTATTCACGGAGTAATGCCTGTTCACTATGCATAAACCACGAGAAAACTATGAGGTTGGTGGACCCCTCATAGCCCCTTCGTGACCCCCTTACAAGAGGGGGCCAGGTGCTGGCAGGGAAATGAATGTGTTCCTTAATATCCGTTTAGGCAAAACATGATGGATAAACATCTAAGACAACAATTTGTGTTCCCAGTTTACTGGTGGACGTTTT